CAACCAGAAGCTGTCCCCACCGCAGCTCCCACCCTGCCCGCCGAGAATGTTGAAGAGCCGTCCAACAAACCAGCAGATGTTTCCATGACTCCCTGCCAGCCGGATGAGAAGCATGAAGCTCCAAACCAACCAACCATGTCTTTGAAGGACTTCACTGAGCTTGCCCGGGCAAATTGGATTGATTCTTCAGTTGATGATGCTGTGAAAAACACCTGGGAAGCTTTGCCGCTGGGGGAGGAAGAGGAGGATGCTTTGCTTCATTGCCTCCTGGAAGAGTGCAAGCAGCACCCCCGTCTTCAAGAGCGCATCAAGTACATGCAAGAAGCGTACAAGCTCGATGCTGATGAGTGGACCTTTGCAGATCCAGAGGGTGACATCTTGTGCGACTTCGTTGCTTTTGTGGCATGGTTGATTCCTGCGACTGAACCACAGCAAGTTCCACAGGACATATGCAACCCACTTGAACATGCTGCAAAGGCTCTAGATCTTGTAGTGACCCAAGATATGATAGCAAGAACAGAGGCCAAGTACCATGTTCGTGATGGTCAGTTTCATTTGATTGACCTACCAGACATGGAAATGAATTTGCCTCCAAAGAAACAACGTGTGTTGGCCACTTGTCGTCCTGCTTCAGCGGCAGCAAAGAGATTGCAGGAGCTAGATGCCAACCACTTCAAGCGACTGAAATCTGAACAAGCTGCATCCAGCGAGCCGAGCAAAAAGCAGAGAACACAAGAGAAGAAGCTGGATGTAGAGTGTAAGACAGAACCAACAGAAATGGATGAGGACGAACCGAGTTGGACACTGCTGCGCTTGCTGCTTCTAGGAAACATAGAGGCCGTCAAGGAAGCGACATCCTCGCTACGCTCAGTGTCAGAAGAAGACATGATGACTCTTGTTACTGAGATTCAAGATCATCCACGGTTTGATGCAGTGTGCCAGATTGCAGCAGCCGGCACTCCGCTCACCTTTTTTGTCATCAGGGACACTCCTGATGGCCAGCGGGAGGATGTTATTCTCTGGTTGGCGGCATACTTCCGCATGTTCAACCAGCAATCACACCAGACTTCCTCAGTGGTGAAACCCGGGATGCCAAACCTTCCAAAGAAAGAGGAAGATCTATCACCAGGCTTGCAATCGTTTCTTTGTTGTGTTTCTGTAGAGAAGTTGGTGTGGCCAGGGTCAAAGTCGCAAGATGAACCTGCCCAAGAGGGACGCTATACTGATATCTTGGTGAGCACTCTACAGGACAAGAGTTGCAAGCCCCTATTGTTCGTTGTTCACAGTGTGTGACTTTTGCATTTGGGAGGACATGGCTCAAAGTCTTTTTGAGTATGACAGGGACAATGGCTGCGAGATTGAACACCGTCTTTCTCACCTGCTAAAGACTTCACCCCTGACCAAGATTGCAAGTGCATGTTCAGGAACTGGCTCGTTTTTTGGATCAACATTGGATATGAAAAATGTTATGTTATGTTTGGGAAGTGGCTTGTGTGCATGTTCCAGTTAGTTCTTTTCTTTGCTGCTGGTTCTCAGGTTTGAAACATGCTACACCGAAGTCCTCCGCACGTTGCTACACGCACTTGACATAGCCGGCGAGGACTGAGGAAGCTGTCCAGAAGCTGTCACAATGTCAAGGTTTTTGAAGCTTGAGTTGCCAGGATCCAAACTGCTTGTTTGCCGTGGAGATACAGAGCTTCAAGCAAAAATTCCTGCAACAGAACCTGGACACAAAGACTTGTCTGTTTGAGGAGGGACGGAGTTTTTCCAGGAAGACACAGAGCGACTTCTGTACTGACCATGTTGTGTTTTAGTAGGACCACCGGGAGATGTTCACCAAGAAGAGGAGTTGCATCACCCACAACGTGAGTTGCGATCTACCGACAGACATCGACATTCTCATGTCAGGGTTCAGCTGCACTTCGTACAGCAGCTTGAACAACCAAAGCCATCTGAACCTCAATGCAGTTCAAGAATCAAAGGCAGGTCTGCAATTGTGTTAACAATCAATAAGTAGCAGCATGGGCGTTCAGTCTTGCTGCTCTTTTATGTCCATGGCAAGGCGGTTGCCTCAGTGGACACCTTCAAAGGTTGCGTGGGCTTGATTCGCTACACCCGCCCACGGCTTTTCCTTTTGGAAAATGTCCCCAGAATTGATGCCGTTGAGGAAGATCAGTGGCTAGCATTAACTAAGTGTTTTCAACTGTGCGCAATGTGACAGAGTGCACAATGCAACAAAGACATAGTCTAGGGCCTAGGGCGTTCCTTTTCCAATGTGTTCTTCAACATTTAGGTCATCCAGCAATTTGGATCAGTGTCTCGCTATCCTGCGCAACGTGCCACGGCTTTCAAAAGAAGACACAGGCCCGGACTTGTGCTACTCAGTAAAACCATTCTTGATGAACACACTTTGGTATGGACTACCCCAAAACAGGGAACGGGTGTACGTAGTTGGAGTGAAGACTTCCGGTGATGAGCTTGGAGTGCATCCTGACGTGTATTTGGAGCGGGTGCAGCTATATCTATCGAAGATGTATGTGAATCCTCCCTCTCCAGACGCACAGCTAAATCGCTTACCATGTGATTTCAGCAGTTCAATCATTTTTCTTTGCAAGGAAAGCCACTAGCCAGAACTTGTTGCGTGCTGTAAGGATGAACTGTTGTTCGATGATGACCACCCTGCTGTACTTGCTGAGCTTGAGCGCTTGCAGAAAGTAAGAAGCAATAATGGGCTGAGCACCGGGGCATCTTCAGATAAATCTCAGAATTGGGTCAAGATGCATATGAACTTGGCTGAAAAACGTTCCTTGCAGACTGTTTGGCATTATGCAATTTTTGTTACCGAGGGCTTTGCTTTTGACAAATCAGGGAGTTGGGGAAGGGGGGAGTCAGGCGGTATCCCTTGGCCAATAAAGCCGCCGGATTCTTTGGCATCCAGTCCTTGGTATCAATCCATGCCAGGGCGTATGCGGGAAGTGCTGTTCTTGGATCATGCTTCATTGGAAGTATATGTGTTGCCTTACGTTATGAGTCATGAGTCATTTGTTTGCGCAGTGTGCTTTATCTTTTGTGGGAAGGTGCTATCCCTTGCCGCTCTTGACAGTCAAAAGAAGGATGCCGACGTTGCGTACGCAGACGTCTATCACAGTGCGACACGTTTCAACACAGGCCCCAAGACTCACATCCCGATTGCTTTGCCTTAATCAGTGCTGTACAGCTTTGCTCGGAATCGCTTGGTTATCGGTGCATTGCTTAGCTCGAGTTCAGTGTGGGGTGACTGGGAACTGTGTGTGGCAGCATATTCATAGATTTCATATATATATATATATTGTATATCATGTATCCTATCCTGTATCCATGCTGCATGCATGCGAGGAAGGGAGATGTTGAAGTTCCAGGGGCTGGAATATGAAGAGGATACTTTGGAAGGGTTTACCGAAACCCAGCTTTGCAATTTGGCTGGAAACGCGTGCCTTGACTGCGCTGTTGCTGCAGTTAACACAGTTTTTGTCGGTTGATGTTGCGGGTAGATATCTGTGAGGTGTTCTGGAACTGTGATGGGGGCAACTTTGCTGGCAATGCTCGCTGCATATGAGATGCATACAGCATCTGATAACGAGGAAACAGGATGCATTGACCAGATGCTGACCAGCATGCAAGTGGTCGGCAAGACTTTATACAGCCCAGAAAACTCTGGCAGCGATTGAAAAACAATCGCTCTGACTCTGACCGCAAACAGAACTTAATCGACTGCTCCCAAAATCTATTGCGACAGCGTGTGTTCACCGACGTCGTCGCGTCGTCGTCGTATCGTCGCCGTCGCTCTTGTCGACGTCGTCGTCGAGTCGTCGTCGATTCGCCGTCAACCTGTCGCCTTCATATTTGATGTTCGTCGCCTAGGGCAGTTTCGTATGCCTGCATCCGTCGCCAGGGTTTTTAAGTACATACTAGCAAAGACGTTCTCGACTTAGATAACGTATAACAAAGACAAACGACACTCAGGGATACTTAATATATCTTAATATATATATATAGCTAAAGCTGTTGTACACAGGTGAGAAACGATGCCCTCTTGATGGCAGCCTTCCCGGAACATCACATGAGTTCGCTTTCGAAGACATGATAGAACGACTACACACCGCA